ATATATATAAGAGCCTATTTGCACAGCTATGGGATGTTTACCCAGGACAGAGTGGCTGGTCAGTCATGGGAGTACTGGCCCAGGGGAGGGGTGGAGAAGAAACACGCACTCTTTCCTCCCTTCAGTTCCTGGTGTGTAACTGGTCAGGTGTCCCCCTGTCACCAGAGACACAGAGTTTCTCTGGTGCTGTAGGAGGGGAAGTAGCCAGCAGCCAGGGAGAGAAGGGACCAAGGAGAGACTGAGACCTACTGCCATGAGAATAAGCCCCCTTAGAAGCCCAAGTTCTTGCCCTGGCCTTTATTCAGTCTTACTGAATTCACAGGGAACTTGCACCAGGTAGAGAAACCCCTCCTCCCAGAGCAACACTACCTTATTTTAAATGAACCCAATTTTAAAGGTTTAATTATTATATAGTATAGAATTCCAGATTATTCAAAACATTATTCAAATCAATACTATTTAAAGCTCAAACGTTTATTTGGTATTACATTGGCCAAAATCCTAGATGACTGCCTAGATATTTTCACAGAGTGATGATATTTCTGGGATGTTGTTGATTCCTTGTTGGTTACATGGACTCAGAGGAGCTAACACTGATAAAGCTGTGGTCCTGGGATGTATCATTTCTGAGGTTCCTCTGGTTATTGTGAACTAAAATGAAACTTTGTGTTCCCCACCATGGTCGCACAGGCAGAGTCATGCAGGCTGTAAGAGGCCCACGTCAGCCAGGTCAGCTCCTACTGTGCTACAAAGATGTCCTGCAGACATTCTTCCTGTGTCACAAGACCCACAGCCCCTCAGCCCTCACCCATGACCAAAAAAAAATCCAGCCTGGAATCCTCAAAAAAAGATAAACCAGTCTGGTTCTTGTGTTCCTAGTAGAATCCTTTAGGAGAATTAGCAATCATAATTGTTGCCACCTCTCGCACACAGATGGCAACAGAATTTCATTGTTCTTTTATGACATGTCCCTGATGTCTTTGATTGACATAACTTCTTCCTTGACCCACCCCCTGTTGCAAAAAATGTTTAAGATGTCCCAATCAAAGGGCCTTTGGGGCAATTTACTAGAACACACTGATGGGCTGCTCTCAGGCCATGGTCCTCAGCAAAACACTGAATAAACCTTTGTTTTCCTTAAACACAAGGCTGTGCTGATTTCAGTCAATGCTATGTAATTGATGGTCAAGCCACATAAAAGTTTATTGCTCCAAAATTTGAGTCACATTTTGGAACAGTTATCCCTGTGGAGACCCTAAATTGTCAATGGCCAGACAATGGGGTCCTTTGATTTGGAAAAGTTTTTATATTTTAAAGGATTTTTAGAGAGTTCTCACTCTAAACAAATGGCCTATTACCGATATGAGAGGATCAACTTGACAGGATACACAAAAACAGGATCACAGCTCGCCTAAAAGACTCCCTTTATAAAATTCAAGAACAGAAATCAGATTTAGAACAAAAATTTAAAAATTCACAGCCAGCATAAACTCCCCTACACCACCTGGGAATGACCCAATTGGAGGCTGATATTCAGAGCCTGATAGGAGCTGTTACAGAGGTCTTCCCTCTGAAGCTGAATTGGGCTACAGTGAAATAATGCACTCAGAGGAGAGGAATGTATCCTAGAGGCTTTGTCAAGCAATTTATAAAGGTACAGCAAAGGCACACAGTTCTAAATCTACAAGTCTCAGGACATAGTAATCTTTTGTTTTCTATCTTAGCTGGAAATCTTCTCTCTGATATTAAGAGGTAAATTCAAAATAATGTAGTTGGATAAGCAGGCCAGCTACTTTATATTATTATTGAGGCTGCCATCTAATTCTTTGAAGTATTAAAAATAACTGTCATCACCTGACTAACTGAGTCGGTACAAAAACTTAACTGCGGCCCTAGAAGTAGCCCAAAGCCCACCCAACTTTCTTACCAGTCCCAAAACCTCCCGTTATCTCAAGATGCTTGCAGATACTATAAAAAGCCAGGACATTAGAAAAGGGACTATCCTGCACTTAAGGGGAGGCACTTAAACAGTAATTGTCTTGGCCTCAACCTCTTCTCAATGGAAAGTCTCAACCCTGGACCTATTAAAACCTTCAGACTCTCAATAGATAATCTTGTCCACTTCCCACACCCCCCACCCTCCCATAAAATGTCTGCTTGTGAAAGCTTGATGCTACCAGGACAATTTATTGTTTTCCAAGCCAAAAACCTGTTAATAGACAAATATGCCCTTGAAATTCCTTTCAGATTTCAGTTACTTTAAAAACTTGCATCTTTTCTCTCCCTCTTTGAGATGTAAATCTTCTACCACCCAGAACTATCTTCTTCAGGACCTGAGAATCATCTTTTCAAAACGCAAATATCCAAAGAAACAGCTCAGGCTCTCAGACTGAGGAGTGCCCTTCTTTCACTTGCACTACTGCACCCTGTCATAAAATAGGAGAAACTTATTTCTCCTCCTGATAAGCACCAATTAACAACCCCTTTAACAAACCTCCAGTGCCTTTTTCCTTAGCATACTGTAGCCTTTAAAAAGGAACTTCTTAGTGGACCAAAACAACTGTATGAGGCTGACCCCACCACCTCCAGGAGATTACATATCAAAGCAAATAAAAAGATCTTAAAGGGCTGACCTAAAAATATTGGTAAAAAGCAAATAAAAAGACCTGAAAGGTCTGCCCCATCTTTAATTGGTGAAAAGCCCTTACACTGAACAGGTTAACAACTTGTTCCATATGCTAGAAAATTGTTCAAATAAAAGTGCGGCAAAGATGAAAACCAACTCTTATATAAACCAGTGAACTGTATTGCTCTGACAGCCTCTACTACAAGGTCTCTACAGCTCTTCCTCAACTTATGATAGGGTTACGTCCTCATAAACCTACCATAAACTGAAAATATTCTAAGTCAAAAAATGCATTTATATGCTAATCTATCAAACTAATGAAGAAAGATGATTATTTTTATGGGTTTTCTTTGGAATATTGCTGGTTCTTTCATGTTCCACTTTCTGGATATGTTTTCTCTTCTAGGGGCCAAGGGCAAGCTGCCTCAAAATGTGCCACTTTGACATTGAGATAGAGCAGGGACATGGGACAAGCATCATGATTAATTTTTCCTGCCTATGATGAAAAATGTTGAGATATAAATAGCGTAGTAAGAACAGGAGGGACTCCATCTTAAGGCTAAGATTCCATTTCAAAAACCAGAGTTAGGAAGTAAGATTCCTGACATATTTTATGGTGATCAGCCGACAGCTGACCCTACCTTAAGGCAGGGCGAGCAGCCCTAAATGGTATGTTCCCACTGCTTGAGGGAAACCACTATCTTGGAGAACAGGATCAATAAATTCCTTGTGTTAAGTTTATCTTACAGAATATGTAAAGGACTGACTATGGATGGTGACATAGCTTCTCACCAGAGATGAGACCACATGTCAAGCCTACACCCCCTGGCCCTTTACCCCATTCTTGAAATCCTTAAAAGACACAAATCCTAAACTTTAAGCGTGCCTCCTCTCTGTGGCTGCCTGCATACCCCTTTCTTTGAGTGTGTACTTGCCTTAAATAAAGACTATTACTGCTCAACTTACTGCATTTGCCCCTGTGCTCTTCCAGGCCTCTTGGGAGGTTAATAAGAGACCCCTTTCCCAGGGATAAGCATCTTTGTTACTTCACTATTCATTCAGTTTTCTAATCTTAATCACAAATCTTCACTCTCTCTGTCCTACTTTAGACAAATAGGGAGAGGCGACTGAGATCTCTGATGTGGGCTTGCAAGTTCCCATTGCCTGGGTGTCGGACAGGACTGCAGCTGTACGATCATGCTCTTTAGTAGCCGGCCCAACAATCTCCTCTCCTTGCTTTGGGGAAGTTCTCAGAACATAATCTCACTCCGTCCAGTGCTCCACAGCTCCCCCAAATCCTGGGGAAGTAGGGATTAATTCCCATGCCAGGCAGATTTGAGTGGACACTGGACTCCAGGTGACTCTGCTTCAGGAGTTGGCAAGGGATCTGCCCCATGCCAAGCAGGAGTCCAGTGGACTTGCCTTCCCTCCTTCTGTCCTTCCTTGCTCTCTGCTGCCTGCAAACCTGCTACCATTCACTACTACTCTCGCGTTAATGAATTCTTTCCTTACGTACACTCATCCGACCTGTTCATGAATTCTTTCTTGATCAGAGTCAAGAACCCTCCCCTGCGCAGGTTGAGGTTTCAGCTAGTGCGCGAGGAGAAACCTCCCCAGATGCGGCTGCCCGGCAACAGCATGTGGACTGTTTTGAGCTGAAAGCTATCAAGAGCCTGCAGACTCTAGAAAAAGTGTTTGCCCCTCCCTTAACTACCTAGAAAAATCTAAATTGAGGTCTTTCCCATAACAAAGGTTATCACCAGAGATAAATTATATCTGAGTGACCCATCTGTATTCAGGGCAAACATCCAATCACCAAACACCTGCTCTGCTTACTGCCCTATGCATTGCCCTCCTCCCCTCTGATGCCCCAAGCCCCTGTCCCCTTCCCTAGCTCAGGGTGGCATTTATGCCTCATTTTACATTTCTGCCTTTGAACTTCTCATGTATGTGGGGTTCCCATAGGTAGGAAATTAAATGTGATTTTCTCTTGTTTATCTGTCTCATATCAATTTAATTCTCAGACCAATAAAAAGCACTTTGAAGGATTTGGGAAAATGTTTCCTCCCCAGGACTCTTAAGCTGTCTATAACTCACAAACATTTAGCAAACTGTACCTTTGCAAATAAATGAACATTTGCCTTTTTCTCCCCACCTGATCTCTCCAGAATTCAGAAACTCTTATTGAATATTCTTATTTTCATGGCAATATAGTTATTGGCACAAGTTCAATAACAATCTGTTTTCCATGTACCAGAACATGATTGGAAAAAACTGTTGTATCACTGAAGCTTTGACTAGAATGCCGTATTTGGGAATGATGTGCATAGAATACGATATAACCAGACAGTTTTAAGGACCTAATGTTGACATTACAGAGCCAATGCTTGTAAAGCTCTCTTGGAAAAACCAGCCTGGTATCTAGTTTATGGGGCTCCCAGCCTACAGGCAAGTAAGAAAGGTCGCTTCCTGGCAGGCTTAGGAATCTTAGAATATTTTGGGGACCTCAGAAAGAGAAATTCGCCCAAATCTATACAGGTACTGCGAATGAAGTATGACGATCAGCTCTTGGCTTGGCTTCCTATCCTCAAGAGGCTTTTAAAAGTCCAATCTGAGATTCTTTATAAAAGTTCCAGCAAAGTGAACTTAAAAAATCCGATGTGGTCCATTTCCATTCTTGCTGAACTTACACAAATAATCAGGCCAAATTTAATGAGACTAGGCTTATTTTGATTATCTTTGATCAAAATGGGAGTATTGGAGAGAGAAATTTTATTGTTTCAGTGTAAAACCCTTGTGAGTTATCAGATCCTAGTCCTATTTACTGTCTCTGAACTACTTTCACCTCTTTGTAAAGTGAATCCTACTGTCTTGCACATTTTTGTCAGTAATTAATGTTTCTAATTTTCCTCCCGCCCTCCTGACTTGCTGTCACTAACAACTGAAACCTGACAGCCCAGATCCTTACTGAGACTACAGGTTGTCTTGTTCCAAAGCCCTGCAAGCTGAAGCAGGACAATTTGATATAAGCTTAAAGGACTTATTGCTGCAGTGGTTTAGGCCACTCAGGATGTCACCAAATACCTGCATCTTCCATGCTCTGCTCCAGGAAATGACCCTGCAGTTCTCACTCCTGCATCTAAAGATGCTTCAAGCCCAACATCTAGAAATCTTGACTGGTCGCCCTCTGCACTCAGAATACAGGTGACAGTCCACTCTAACCATTCATCTTTGGTTTTCTTTGTTTCCTGGTTCTAATCTATGTTCTTTTCCTCCTTTACAGATCTCTTACATTGCCATTCCCAACCTGCATCTTCTCTCCGCAGCAGTCAGTCTGGCTTCTTTTTGTGTGTAAAACTTCTAGAGAAGTTTCAAATGGTAGGAGTGTGGGGACCCACTCAGAACCCCAGAGTTGGTATAAAGATGATCTTTAAGTAAAAACATTCAAGCAAGAAGGTGAAGAGGGGAACCTTATCTGAACTTCCCTCATCTGACTAAAGCAGAGCCTCCAGAAAAAGATCCATAACCCCCTCCAGAGAGAGTCCCCTGGGAATTCAGCTGCCATGGAGACAGACGGCCATTAGTATCGAAAAGCCCAATGGAACTTTCCGTATCTTCTCATTCAAGCCCAAACCACCCCGACTTCCTGTCCCATCTCTGGCTTTTGAGGGACTTATCCCCCAGTACTGACGATGTAAGCAAAAATAAGCTCCTAATGTAAGCAGAAATAAACTTTGTCTTTTCTCTTGTTAATATGTCTACCGCCAGGCCCCCAAGCACTGGACCCAAGGAGGAAGAGGAAAAGTTCTCCCAACAAAATCATTTCTTATCTTCCAGAAACAGATCACACCAATCCTTTACTATTCCAAAAGAAATTACAGTAGAAAACATATCAGCATATCGACACAGTCAGAGTATGCCAGGCACTGGGAACTGCCGTTATGCACAAATCCAATTTTGTATTTGAGTCAGCAGGTGGCACCAGGGAAGGAGAAGTGTATCTCGATAAATGCACAGACTGCTCTGAGCCCCGGAAACCTAGTAAGAGCTCCTCCTGTAGATGGTCCATGTTCTGTCTAATCCTAAAATGTCTTATTTAAACTGAAACCTGTCTCAAGGCCTCACTGAAAGCAAATCAAAAGAAATCACAAATAAAAATAAAACTTAGAAAGTATCTTGAAAAAAATTTCACCTATGGCTGCCAAAAAACTAACTCTGGACATCCACCTGGCTGGGTTAGACACAAATTACATTGTATTCAAGAGATACGGGGTGGTGCCAGCTGTACATCTGAAGCCTACGATCCGCTGAGGTGGAAGAAAAGGCATAAGCACAGAGAAGTCTACCCATAAGCCAGAGGAAAAGGAGCACCGTGGAAGCTCCTACACCTTTGGCATTCCAACGGGGAGGGCAGCAACTGCGGCCATTCATCTCTAGGAATATATGTGAAACCACAACTGATGCCCCTAGTCAAATGCTAGCCTCTCCACAAACTGTCCACCAGACAAGAACTGAGTTCTAGCAACTTCATAGAGATGCACTTTTTCTGGTCCTTAATAAAGATATTCAGCCACATCAGGAAAGAATATTCCCTTAAATCCCTAAAGGTACATCACACATTCATCTTGCCGTTCTTTCTCACCGCAAACCAACACCCAGGCAGCACTGTCACCTAAAACGCAGTTCCTCAACTAAACCCATTTAGCGGTACTAACGAAAACCCAGAGAGATGTTCCTCTTTCACAGACACTGACACGCTCAGGGCTAAGGCAGGGCTTCTCCTCCACCCTCTTCCCCACCCACTCACCCTGGCGAATTCCACTGGTTTGGGAAGGAGGCACATGACCATGACATCAAAGCGGACATCACACACTGTCTTCAACCACTTGGTGACAAACTGAGGCTTCAGTTTTTCCACCAAACTTCCGACTTCATCATCCATCATGTATGCGGTGGAGTGGAACCACTGAAACACCATGGCCACCAGCCTGGCCAGGCTTTCCGTAGGCGTGTTCTCGCTGGGCGTGCAGAGGCTTACCTGGAAAGGGGCAGAGTAACCCTGCTTCAGCCTCCATCCAGCTTTACACAGTTATTACATGTGCATTTAGAGGCCCCCCCCCAAAAAAAAAATCCCAGATAATCCAACTGAAACAGGCAGTTTTATAAATGATGATCGCTTATCCTAAAAACTGTTTCTCACTATAAGGAGACAGCGATTACAATTTCCCACCTTCCTATAAGTCTCTTCTCCCATAGGAAATCTATGACAAAATCCACACTAGATCGATGCTTTGAAAAAGTTAAGCCTACTAAGTGAAATTTCATAAATATTTTCAGTGAAAGAATAAACGATATACATTTCACTTCTAAAATAATCAGATTTAGGGTAATAATTTTCTATCAGTAGTAGTTCTTAAACCTTATACCTCCCCCTCAGCCAGTTTCACAACATTATACACTTTTTAAAACAGCTTATCATTTATTCATTCAATCAATCATTCTGATAAAATCTTTTATTAAGCACTGAAGTAGGGTTCACGAATATAAAAAATAAAATACTATCCTTGCCTCCAGAGAGTTCACAGTAGTAGTTATTGTGTTTAAGATAATAGGTTCTAAGAGCAAGACATGTGAAATCAACAATAAAATTCCAATTTGATAATAAATAAATAAATAAAATTCCAGGCAACCATGTGGAAGCATAAAAGGGCTATATCACCGTGGAGACTTAATCCACGCCTCCAATGGGCAAAAAACAAAAGTCTGCCTCCCTGCAAGACTGACAAATTCAGCTTGCTTGGGACTTTGGGTCTGTATGTTTGATCTTCACTGAATGAATGTTGCAGTGGAATCAGTCAATAGCAATCAAATTGCTTATGTTAGTTTGGCTATGATTTTTCTGGCTGTATGCAGACTTGCCATAAATACATGAAAAGTGCCAACGACTAAACTTTCAAGAAAAATTTCATGTATATGGACAATGGGATGTGAATAATCCACAAATTATACTGAATCCAATATTCCACAAGACACCCTAGCACTTTTCCATTCATTTCCTATCAAAAGGTGCACTTCAAACAGTCTAGGGTCTGCACAGTAGGTTTCAACACCTGCCTGTTCATCAGAATCAACCATGGAGCTTTTTAAAAAGTTTCCCAGGTTCTGGGGTGGGATCCAGGGATTGGCATTTTTTAAAGCCTTCCCAGGTAAATCCAATATGCAGCCCAGAGTTGAACACCACTGTCTTAGAGTACAGAGTCCTATTTCTAAAGTTAATTGCTCACTGTTCACTATTAATTTCTTTAAAAGGAATAAGAGAAATTCCTCATCAGTACAAGGTTGGAAAGAGAAATAAGATAGTGGAGAGTAGTTCTTTTCTTACTAAGAACCATATTCCAAATTGACTGAGTAGCCGCTGGTCATGTTTATCATCATCCTTGTTATCAAAGTCAGTGTTATCCAGAGAATGGTGCGAAGAGGAGAGGCCCAGCTGCCGCCGGCGGTTCAGCTCATGCTCCCGCTGCTCAGCATGGAACTCAGCTTCTTTCAACAAGCTGCCCAAGAGGAGAGGTTACAAGTTAGACTATGGAAAACATATCCTAGACTATAACCTATTCAGAGTGATTACTTCAGGAGTACTCAAGCTTCACTGATGGCTTTCCTTTCAATTGGTAAGAGTTATCTCAAGAAGCCTAATTTCACCTCCTTATTTCATAGTCCACTCCCATTTCAAAGCTGAACAAACTGAGGCACAAAGAGGCTTGAAAACCACTGGTACTTCCTCCAATCAATTAGAATTAAAAAGAACTGATGCCTCTGGCTTCTGGCTCACTAACCATCCCCCTAAAGTCAATGCTTCCCCTGCGTCTAATGGAAGCTGTGTGGATATCAAGTGCACGATACAAAAAAAGACTGAGGAACTTGTACCCAAATGGAAAAATATTCAAAATCTAGTACTCAAAGCCGAAAATGAGCTACAAAGATTCCTTTTTCAATTTGCTAAACAAGTGACAATTTTGTAAAATAATATCCAATGTTGGCAAGGGTGTAGCAAAAACTAGCAATTTCATACAGTGCTCTTGGCATTATAAATTCATATGCACTCTTTGAAAATCAGTCTGGTAATATTAAAGAGCCGCTAAAAATATTCAGACCCTCTGACCCAGTCAACCACATCCGATCGTCTACCCTAAGAAAATTAAAAAATATAGGAACAACATAAGACACAAAAATATTTATCAGGCATCCATAATAGTCAAATATTTGTAAGAGATCTAAACAGCTAATGGTGGAGGGAAACAACCTAGATTAATATTATGTATCCAATAAAAATGATAAATATGGAAACTACACTAAACCATGGAATAGAGGTAACAGTAAGTTACATCAGAAAGACTTGTGGATGCACATGATTACAGTTATATAAATGCCACGTGCCTTTAATAAAACTAGAAGACCAGGTAGGAAGCTGATGACGATGATGGCAGTATGGTTGATTTTTTTTCTATTTCTAAACTTTCTGTAATGTTTTACTTGACAAACAGTTATTGTATTTCTACATGTATCAGCCACTGGGATAAGGGAAACAGAAAAGACTTAGTCCCCATCCTTAAAACTTACATTCTAATATCATTTCTTTAATTTTTAAATATCTTGCCTCTCCACACAAAGAGAATTTAGAGGCTAACATTTCTAAAGCTCTTTCTCTGCCATGTGTTAGGAGAAAAAGCCAGCAGCCTATACAATCTGGCTCCTGTCTGACTCCACAGGCTTCTGGTCTACCCCAGTACTGAATTACCTAGACATGTGCTCCCCTGCTGCCAATCAACCTCAGACATCCCAGCCCCGACCCCTCACTCTGATTGCCACTTCCAGTTATGGTCTGCATTCCCTAAGCCCCCTTGCTCCATGCTATCACACTGCTCACCGTCCTGGTTTGCAATTATGTGATTTTGTTTTTACAGACCCCCACATGGGTGACCTGAAGACAGAGATTACATTTTATTCTCTTCTATCTCCCAAGTGCCTACTAACACATGCCTGGCTTATAACAGGCATCCCTAAAAATATTTGTTGAATGAATAAATTAAAACATCACTGCAACATGATAGAAGGTGAGCTGGTAGGGGATCTGAAGTTGAATTAAATTTACACATCTCAATGCAAGAAGGGGAGCTCAAAGTGAAGGCTATGTTTTCAGGGTAAGGTACTAATAAGTGGCATGTTACCTAATCACAGCCTCCACAGCACACACAAGCTCCTCGGCACCACACTCCCGAGTGTTGATGGGTGGAGGGGAGGTCTGATAGAGGTGGGTCTCTGAGGCGGCCCCCACTTCATTACTGTGATGATTCGAGTGGCATCTTTTGCAGTACCGCACAGGCCTGTTTCCATGACGACCACAGCACCCTGCTGAAAAGCAGGTGACAACTGCTCTTCTAACATGGGAACTGCAGTTCTAGGGACAAAAAAAAAAGGGAAATCAATTAAAATTAATCACTGAGGTAAATCGCTGAGGCTAAGAATTGAAACAAATGGAAACTTAAGGGACCATCAGAAGTGGGAGAATATTTCTGAAGTGTCACTAGTTTCCAAAATGCAGGTCATCTCTAACTAACTAGATTTCAGTCTTAGTTAAAAATAAAGGTGAGAAGTAGTTTCTGTTAGTGTGAGTGATAGAAATGTTCTAAGTATGCATGGAACTGTGTTGTAAAGTTACCTCAGACATGAGGGATGGGGGAACTTTCTGTATCAATTTGAGTTCATGTTTCAAGAGTGTTCAGCAGAAACAGGAAAAAAAGAATTAAAGTCATGGTTCAGAGAGAGTGCATCTCACTGCATCAGAATAGGAAAGGAATAACTTTAATCCCCAGAATAACCTTTCAAAATGATAATTTTTTTTGGTATCATTAACATACAATTACACAAGCAACACTGTGGTTACTAGATTTTATCCATCACTAAAGGGACAGATTTTCATCACACCTCATCTGTCCTTGCTGCATTCACAGACAGGCAGGGAGCTGTGGGGTCCAAAAGTGGCCCTGTCCCCCTCAACCAGCACTCTTTCTTATCAGGAGCTGAAGAATATGTCCATTGACACCATGGGGGCAAATAAAACACAGCAGGAACCATTCATAGAATCAGGCGCTGCCATCACCTACAGGAAAGGCATCAACAGATGAAGTGAAGGAAATGAGAAAAGTGGCGCAGGGTAGAGATTACAAAGTTCAGGGAGGCTATTGTCAGAGCTGCTCTTGACAAGAGGCCGAGGAGTGAGGCAGTCGCCACGCAAAGCAGTTTGAGGAGCTGACAGGAAGCTCCCTGACCTCCGCAAAAAAAATGTGCCCCAAGCCTGTTAGAGGTGCCACCACCACACACTCTTATTTGGGGTTTCAGTGTCCGCAAAGCCACATTTGTAATTCTTCTGGCAACAGTCCTTTTTATAATCTGAGTAGCTCCGTCTGCCCTTACCATTATTAGAACCCTACCTTGTATGTCTCTGAGCTTTTATCAAAGGATCATACGATCATTCAGCATACTTCTGATTTGATTTTTATCCTAAGGCTATCCCCAAATTAATTTTCACATAAAATATAGTGTTTATTACAAGAGAAGTAAAAATGTGCTGATGTGAGGTTCATTCCTAAAAATAACTCATATAAAAAAATAACCTGCTCTGGGTGTCGGGTGCGTCAGGTACACACCAAAGCCAGGGCACGCAGGCTGGGGAAGTGAAACTGTTCCTCTCCAGCTTGTGTCCAGATCACCTTTCACCTTTCGATAGAGCTTATAGATCTGTGAACATCTCTGGGGATCCAATACCATAAGCTGTTATGGACTCAGAGCTTGGTGAAGATTCAAGAACCCTCCCAGATGGATGTCTTGAGAAGGCAGAAGAAAGAAGAAGGCAAGCACAAAACTCCGCACCAAAACACTGGCGATGTACTGAACTGCCTATCAGAACAGACATTTCAAAATGAGGCTTTTTGTTCCATTTTGATTTTAGCACAAGGCTTTGGAGACTAGTGCTGGAAAATCTCATTTTCTGAACAGGACTCAGGCCAAGAAATCATAAAAGCAAGTTAAAAACTTCTCTAACCTTTTTTTTCTTTTTATAAGTTTTAAAAATGATTTGCTAAAAAACAGTGTTTCTTCAGCATCTGAACCTCATGTCTTCTTCAGCATCCAAGTCAGCCCTGACTTCTCCAAGTGGGATATTTTTCCTGCTTTGTGCCTTTTCTCTCTTTTTCACATACTGAATTACATTCTAGAAACACATGAATCTTTATGGGTTTGTGGCTTCTCCTGCTCCCCCACAGAACCAACACCAGACCACTAGCAGTGTGGTAAATACTGGAGAATTTTCTGAGCATATATTTCTTCCTTTTGGTTATAATTGGTCTTGTTCCTCTGGGATTCCCACTGTCATAAAACCATGGGCTGTGGATATGGGATTAGTGGGTAGTCACCAGCTACAGTGAAGTCCTGAAGTTTAAAGCCTACAATTTCCCACCCTATTTTCTGGTCATAAATTATTTACATTCTTCCCACATGCAAATTCCTGGCTGGAGGTCCAAGGTCTTCTCAGCTAAAGTAAGTCCAGCTGCGGCTGAGGCTCTTGGGGTCTGGTTCCTCAGGGACGCTTCCATTTGCCTTGAATCTAGATGGGCTGTGGCTGCTTCAACCAAGAGAGTATGGCAGAAGTGACACTTCTGTGATTCCTGAGGCCACGTTATAAAATGACATCAGCTTCCTCACGGGGAAGGCAGTACAGCACAGAGAAGACAAGTAGTGACTCTATAGCATCTTACTACGCTGATGGACAGTGACTGTAATGGGGTATGTGGGGGGGACTTGATAATGGGAGGAGTCTAGTAACCACAATGTTGCTCATGTGACTGTATATTAATGATACCAAAATAAATTTTTAAAAAAAGACATCAGCTTCCACCTGGCTGCCTTAGAATATTCTCCTTTCAGAACCTTCCTCATCTGATACTCAAAATTCTACCATAGCCAAGTCACATGGAGAGGCAGGTGTGAGTCTGTCTCTGGTGAACAGTGCTGGTTAAGCCCAGCCTTCAAGTCTCCCATCCCAGAGCCCAGATGATCTAGGAGCCTCTAGATAATTCCAGCCTCCAACTATTCAAGTCTTTCCAGGTGAGGCCCCAAACACCACCAAGCAGGGACAGGGCTGTGAATGGTGCCCTATTCAAATCCCTGACTCACATAATCTGTGAACATAATTAGATGGTTGTTTTATGGGCTACATTTCAGTGATACAGTATCTGGATGTACCATAAACTAATCTGGAATATCAACTAAAAGTCTACCTGCTACCATGTGTTACCAATTCTAAATTCTATCAACAATAATATACTTTGCCCAAAAATAACCTTTGGTGGGCCAAGTTCTAAGCAATTACTGTGGATCCTACTAACTTTTAATAATACATTTCCAAGTCACAGCCAGTCCTCAACCCTTGCTGACCCAGCTACACACATTCATTTCAAAAGTACACTCAGAGATTTCCCACCAGTTCAGATTCTGCGGGACATGGTTTCCAATGCTCACTCCAGCCCCTCTGCTTCGCTGCTTTGAATTTTAAAACATCAATAAATAACTCCAAGGTGTCTCAGAAAATGACAGAACTGAAATAAATTAAGGTCTATAAAGGAAGAGAATGTTAAAAATTATCTTCTCTGGGTATTAGGCATGTCAGGTATACCACAAAGCCAGGACACACTGGTTTAGAAAGTAAGATTGTTTCTCACCCTATTCTCTCCAGCTTGTAAAAGATTCTCAAAGAAACAGCCTTAGGATAAAGATCAAATCAAAAGCTTGCTGAATGACCGTATGATCTTTTGTTAAAAGTTCACAGACATATAAGGTAAGGCCTAGTTGCGCCTCTCAGCTAGAACGGGGCTTCTAATAATTTTAAGAGCAAACTGAACTGCTGAAAGTATAAAAAGGACTGTCCCAAAAAGAATTATAGATGTGGCTTTCAGGCACTGAAACCACAACGAGATTCACTGAAAATGCACGTATTAAAGAAAGTCACACTAGCAAAAGCACTACGAGCTTCGACTAAAGGAAGTGGACATAGTTCAACATGCAAAGAGGTCTACAAGGCCCCAAATTCTACATTTAGGAAGAACACTGAGAGAGTTCCTCAGCTGCAAGATTGGCCACTTCTTATTGAAAGGGAAGATGTCTCAGACAGCAGAGCAGAGAGCCCAGAAGAACAACGATGGATTAGGTACCTGCTCCCAGGAAGCAAAACCAGATCCTAATTAAGGCACATTCACTGTCTTCTGGAGAAAGAGGAACAGTTGACATGTTCAAGTCTGGATGTGCTACAGACCAACGATGGCTCTCGGCTCCCTCTTCCTCTTTTTGAACAGAGGTCTATTGCTGTTTCCCTGTTCTATCTCATCATTTTGTGTTGGGTGGGTAGGGGGAAGATAACTTGCCATTTCAGTTCACAGGTATCTGGATCGAGAGAATTTGCACCTAAGGAGTTCATCAGTAACCAGACCAGATGCAGACCACAAGATAATGGAATTTAAGACTTTTGGAAATCTTGTAATGTGATGAGAATATTTTGTATATGGATGGAATATAAGTAATTATGTCCAGAGGGTGGATGGTGATAAATATGAGCACAAAATTCTTGGTATAATTTCTATAAAGAGGAACAGTCTATTTCCCCATTCCTTGAATGTGGGCTGGCCCTGGGACTTGCTCTGACCAATGGAAGGCAGCAGAAGGCAGTGCTGTGACATTCCTGAGCCTCAGCCTCAAAGGCCTTGCAGCATCCTCTCTCACTCTCCCAGGACACTGCTGCCATGGGGATAAATCCAGCCTAGCCTAATGAGAAGAGGCGGGGCCTGACACTCCAGTCATCCCAAACATTCCAGCCATCCCAGATGAGGCCCCAGACAGGGGACTGAGGCCATCTGGGACTGCCAATCCCCAGCCTACCACCAACTGACTTCAAATATGTGAGTGAGCCTAGAGGAATTTATCAAAAGAAATACCTGGTTGAGCACAGGCAATATTGCCAATCCACAGAATTGGGGCCAAATAAACTTGTTATAAGACACTACATTTTAGGATGGTTTACTATGTGGCAATAGATAACAGAAACAGCTCTCTAAAGGTATACCCACCCATGACCAACTCCTAAAAAGTTTAAATAACTTGTAGATGGTCTTACAGATAGGCAGGGATAGAGCTGGCTAGAACCCAAGTTATCTCAACCAACTAGTCCAAAGTTCTTTGTATGGTACCATACTGCCTTCTTCTATACTTTTCAACAATTACAACAAGAAAAGAAAACGCTAATGGCTTAGGGAAACTGTCATGAAAAGTGGCTAAAGGAAATTTGGAGGTGGAATCTTTAAGTAAAGATGTCACTCAACTTATATACAAATGAATATTTTCCATTTAAAGTCAGTCTGGATATGTTTTTGACAGACTGTATAGTCTGTCATTTGCACTCTAAGCAATAAACATTTTTGGCCTCAAGATACACCTATTACCAAAGTTAAGTTTCATGTGTTGCACTGCCATTCAAACCTTTTTTTAAAATAGATTTCTATCCCAGAATTACACATATGCTTTTATTCCCAATTACTTATCAAAAAAATTTTGCATAATACGGATAAGCAAAAGCAGAAGTGGAAATAGAGACCATTCAGACATAGCAATCTTGCATGCTAAATTATTTCTTTTCCCCCTTCACAAATACACTGACATGTACATACTGGGAAACCATGGTGCAGAAATGAGGCAGATGTCAATGAATGAATTTACATACAAACACAGCAAACCATGCCCCACCACACAGATGGTTTGTTCTTACCTTCTTCTGACATATAGCAGATATTTCAGCTGTAAGGGGAAGGTACACAAAATATCAACAAAGAACAAGCCCATTTTAAATAAGGGCAGCCATGAAGGGAAGTAAAAACAAGCTTATTAAGAACCCTCAAGACTTAGGCAAACCAGATTCTCGCTTGTCTCATAAACTGCCATCTAACTTATGTTTAAGAGGTAAAAACCCCTGCATGCTGCAAATACTCCACCTAGTCTTAAAAGTAATTCAACTTTCTCAGTCATGACTTAGAATTCAGATCATGTAATTCTAAAAGCCAAATCTAAAGCCAAATAACTTTAATCTCACCTCCTCATTGACAAAGAACAAAATTGAGGGTTGTATGACTTCTTCAGGATCACCAGGCTATAAATGATAGAGGCAGTTCTAGAGCTAATGTCCCTGGATTCCTGTTTACTGCTCCTCCCTCATACTTTGACACTGAGTTGATGTGATAAATTTAGAGTTTCAGCATGGAGATGATTTGCTGTATCAGAACTGTCGAAAAAACTTACTAACTTGGATTACCTAGACTTGAACTATCTATTTATATCAGTTCTTGACCAGTGCAAAACCAGCTGCATGCTTATTTAAGAGAAAGCAATTTTTAAACCCAGGATTGGCCAGTTGGAGTGAGGCTGTCCAACTACTTTCTACCTCAGGACTGACTTTAACACATGGGTAACAAGCTCTTTCTAGTAAGCATGCCAATTATTTCCATGAAAATTGACCCTTGAGTGTACTAGGAAGTAATTTTTCCAAGAATATATTAACATTCCTCCTGGAATAGTATGTGCTCAAAACATGAACTAATAAGCCATTACTTCTAATATAGTCTACATTACAATTTATTAAAAGGACCAAAGGTAAATGGCTCCCAAACTCTGCTTGGAAATTATTAACTAGTGGATACTAAATCAATGAAATTTACAACTTATTTTAAAAACTGGCTGTGTCTTAATGGTTATTTACCAGTTCACTATCTTAAGAGCTTTATCTGAACCTGAGGTTAGTGTCACATCTCTAGATAAACAATGAAAGTTATTATAAATTTTTTTCCCAAGATGACTTGATGGCCAGGATTCAGCAACATATCTGATATTTAAAATGCAGCTTAGAACCTGACTCTGCATTTTACCTCATAGCCCTGGAAATTCACTAACAAGGTAGCTTGATTTAAGGGGGGAAAAATGTTACTTTTATCCACACAAGCCCAAACCTTTTCAGAGCTATTCTTACATAAATGTTCAAAATGTCTCTTTGAAAGCTACAGAGGTTGACATTATTGGTCCATTTTATAGACGGAGCGTTCACTAAATTAACATATTTCTTAAGCTTGAGATGACCTAATATTAAAACTTAGGCTACAAAGAAATAGTGTAATTATCATTAAGTAAAAGCCTTAACTTTAAAAAGAAACATTCACTGAATTTAGATAATAGAGGGTTTTTACATCTCTTTTTATATAAGTCCTTTTATATAAATTCTTTATAATCTACCTCTGAAGTCATAGGTCATGTTCCTCCCGTATGCCCGATCTGCACTCAGTATGCCTCCAGCTTTTCCACCCTTCAGCCCTTCCTGGTCATCTCAGCCTCCAGTGAGGTAGCTGGGGACTTGCTTCCCCACCTGCAGAGGAATGCTCTGGCTGGGACCTGCCGACTTAATGGGGCATAGCTTTCAGGACTCTAACAAACTACAAGCATTATAGTACCGTCTCTTCGTTCAGATAGATCAGATATGCTTTATCTCCACGTTACTAATGGGGAGACTGAGTCACAGAGCCAGTCAATGATTTTCCCTAAAAACACAAAGCTAGCAACAGTGTCAGAGGAAAGACCCATTATTCTCTGCTCCCCCCACTGCTGTTCCTTGTTCCCTTTCTGACCTGGCACAGCACACACATCACTGGCAACACCTGTTATCTATACAGAAAATCCTTTAAGACATAATTCGCCAGGGTTTTAGTCATACAGAATCCTAATTCCAAGATCTACCCTTAATTTTGGCAGAGATGATACCTCTTACCTCATTATTAAATGTGTGGGTATATTATAAGCAAGACATTGATATAATGCTGTATATCAATGAGTATTCACAGAATACAACACTTCGGTCACTGTCTTTGTAAAATAAGACCATACAAAAGGAGACAGATGAACCATGCCATCAGTCGTGACTGGTCATTCATCCTTCCTGAAGGAAACCATACCTTGTGGCAGAAGTACATCAATCAACCATTCACTGTGGTCCCTATAAAGAAAAACGAAATTCATTTTTGAGCTTCTTTGCAATGTTACCTTCCCCATGTATGTTTATAAGATGCATGCTATTGCTAAAAAGGTTTTAATAGAAAGGAAATCAAATAAAGAGCACTATCGTAATAAACATTTAAAATGCCTAATGCATTCCAGCTAAATTATAATATACACATTTCATCATATCCAGTTATCTTTAAATGATACTTTCCAGATGCTAATTAAGCCAACCAAAATACAACATGACTTGCACAAAGCTGAGTGTGATTCTGTGAAACTAAGAAGCAAAGAGAACCCCTATGAGTTATATGTCATGTTCGAAAACCACAGTTTTCTTTATTTTTCTCTGTGGCCTTTTTCACCGGGTCACTTGAAAACTGGAACTGCTTTATTAAGTGGAATTGCTTTCTCTTGTCACATGGAGAGAAATATTGCAATTTTTCAAAGCTGAAATCTTTCAAATGAAAATTTACTATATAGTAAATATCCGATAGACTAACCTTTAAAAAGCAGAGACTATTGGGAAATGTGGGTAATAACCAATTTAAGCCCAAGTGATTGCTCTTAGCTTCTCATTATTGCCCTATCTCCTTTTCTTTGAGAGCCGTTACACTTACCCTGCAATCCTCTGGCTGCATTCTTCACAGAGATACAATGGGGGTGGTTTATCACCCAAAGCTACTGACAGGGAAGGGTCTATACACATCTGAAACACATGAAAAGACAGGAATGAACTCTCCAGCCCCATATCATGAGCACAAATGTTTCAATAATATATATTTTTAAAAGCATAGAGGAATAAACATTTTTAGTAAAACCCATTCAACCTATTATTATTTTTCCTGCACTGGCTGATGAGTCCACACTGGATATTTAAATGTGGCTTCTGTGGTTTTTCATTTCCCCTGTTATTTGCAATTCAAGTAACAAATAGAATCAGGAAATCCACCTTTATTCTACAAAGATAAAAAATCATCTTGTTCAATGGCTCCTCAAATTACCTCTATATTATTTGTATATTAATTCCATCTCTAAACAGTTCTCTATCTTTAGGAAAGGAAAATATATTACTAAGACTAAAAAGTCATAACTGTTACCAAAATGCTGGCAGTAGAGAATTTTGCTTAAGATATACCTCACTCAGAAAATTTGGCATTGAACCTAATATTGACTAATTCACTTCTCTTACTCTGGAATCTAAGTTCTGCATCAATTATCCAACATTTTATTTTCAGGCATCTTTCTTTTCATACAATGACCTGAAGTTGGTTTAACCCTGCCGTGCCCTGTTCAATTTTGGATTATTTATGGCTGAGTTTCCACTAGCATAAATAAGCACAAAGATGAAAAATGTTAATTTTATAGTTGATCACCTAGATATTTCAAAGTCTGGATGTTTTAAAACAAATGACAAAACATTCAGATGACTAGCTGAATTTTGCATCGTTTTAAATTTCTATGATTTACCAGAGTCATTTTGAATTTTATTGCTGCCCTTGAAGAAAGAACCAATCCATGCTATAGCTGATTATGCAGTTAATATGCCTAATATACAAATTCTTCTGGAACTTAACTCTGCCTTTTCTTTAGTTGTTTTTACTGATTTGAAGGGGAAAGTGAACGGAACTTATAACTCAAACAGCCTGTTATTTAAAGTTAAAATCCTGAGGAATTTCAATGACTGGGGAAACAAGAGTTAGAATTCCTAAATCTAAAATATTATACGATCAAAATCTGTAAATTACATAGTCCCTGATGCTAAAGGCCCAGTGAGAAAATTTTCCTTAAATAAGTTTCATACTTCCTTTCATGCAATGATTAACTGCTTTTTGGTGTGTTAAAACCAGGGATTGGCAAAATTTCTGTAAATGGCCAGAGAGTAAATATTTTAGGCTTTGTGGGCCATATGTTCTGACTCATTTCTGCTGTTGTAGTATGAATGCAGCCATACACAATACATAACCAAGTGATCACAGCTGTGTTCCAATAAAACTTTATTTATAAAAACAAGCAGCAGGCCATATTTGGCTATGGGCCATAGTTTGATGATTCCTGTATTAAATAATTTTATCGGAGCTCCGAAGTAATTCATACAGTGATTTTCAAATAGAGTCAAGTAAAATCAAAAGCAGAGTGTAATATAAGGCACAATAAATTTCAACATATTTTCATTTTAAATCCTATCACAACTCTTGGCTCTTGCCTAAGTACTTTTTCACAACATATTGCAAGCAAAATAGATAAAACTTTTCTATTTGGCAAATCATTGCTGCCTAGTGGTACACCTCAGTATCATGGAGTTACCAGCTTTTTGTGAGGATAAATCCGTTTTCCCTGCATCTTTCCCATGCACCTCATCTAGAACTCTTCAGGATAGTTACTTTGCTCTCATTTCTAATGAGTCATTGATACCTCTGCCAGGTAAAGATATTTTTTCATTCCACTCAAAAGGAAAATTCCCAGGATATCAGAACCATAGAGTTATTAGAGATGAGCTAGCTGACCTCTGATGTGTTAAATGAATTATTCATGACCCATCAGATTTGTGGCTGGCAGTGCCAGTTCTGTTCTCCTCTGAGCAGGTCAGTTTACACCCATATGAATACGTTCATATCTGAGTACTGCATTAAAACAATAGTTATTTTCTATTTATAAATACAATATATGCCCAATGGAAAGGCTTAGGAAAATGGAGAAAAGGAAAGAAGAAAATCTAAGTAACTCATTAAGCCCCTATCTCAGTGAATTCACTGGTAACATTCTGATGAGCATTACTGGTTGTTTTTCACTACGAGTATGAATATAAATATACATAATATGTAGTTTTTAAACTGACTTGTTATCATACCATAAAATTCCTTAATTTCCTTTTCATTGAACATTGTTCTGTACATATCTGGACATTGGATACCCTTGACCTGCACATCATATGGTCTATTCTATGTGGGTTTGGGGAGCGCTCAACACTGCACCAGAACTAGTGTCATGCAAACAGCCCCAGCACAGCAAGCTTTCACAAGAATGTTACCTTTCTGGGAAGCAGAGTAAAAATACAAAAGGAAGCTCTATAGGAAAGATCGGCTTCAGAAAGTAAAATCGGGGGGTTAATAAAAATGTTTTGGAACTAAATAGAGGTGGTGGTTGCACAACACTGAGAATATGCTAAATGCCACTGAATTGTTCACTTTCAAATGATTAATGTTATGTGAACTTCACTTTAACGTAAAAATGACAGAGCAGAAGGCTGGTTCGGCTGGTTCTGAAGGACTGACTATAGGGAACAGCCTGCAAGAGAAGCAAGGCCAGGCCAGAGGGGTGGACTGGGCTGTCTGGCTGAAAGAGAGGGAAAAAAATCTAATTTAGGATCATTTCTGTGAGGGAGAGGCCAGAAATCATCAGTAATCAGGAAATCAGATGATTCCTGAGAATGCAGTCTGACACAAAATTCAAGGAAAAAAATAACTGGAAAAATTAAACAGCAAGAACCTCCTTCCCGCTGATGGGAGTGAACCAAAAGAGGGGGGCTGTGATGTAGGAAGGGGAGGAAGAGACAGAAATAGAACCCAAAGCAAGGAAACCGTGCAAGCCTCAACCTCATAAGGCTTAAGCTGAAGTCCATGGATAGCACATGAACTCACATGCGTTTGACTCAAAGTGTCTTTACACCCAAGAAACTCAAATATCTATGGAAGTTCAGAGGAGGGGCACCTATAACAGAATGCGTGAGGACTGTGCTTCCACTGGCTGGTGACTCTCACCTGCTCTTTCTCAACATAAATTCATTTCATCTGCCTTCATCAAAAGCAGAGATCAAGCATACTAATACGAGGATGCCCCATTAGTAAGATACATCTGGGTGATATACTGTTCTGGCACCCCTCTGTCACTTTTGATATATGGGAAACACATTTTTTGTTCCATTTATATTTATGTTTCTTATATATTATTTTATCTCTTCTGCTGTTTCCATAAAATGATAGTATTGTTTTTCTATTATTTGGTAATCTTTACAGCCTTCCTATCCATAGAACAAAGGAGACAAACTCCCATAACACTAGGTTCTAAAAAGCAACTGCGAATTCTAATCAATTGACCTAACTCCCCCTCTGTATAACATTAAAATGAACTCTTGCAAATCCAGACACAAGTCTCTCCAGCCAAGTGTTGTACCCAACAAATATACCGCAAGTAATTTTGTTAAAAGGTGTGATTATTTTTCTTAATATTGAACATCACAGATTCAGTTATAACAGGACAGAACCGGTTTGATGTGGTAGAAAAAGAGTAAGGCTGAGAGTCGAGGCGCCTGGTGCTGGCTGTGTGACTTCCAGAAAGGGACTTGACCTCTAAAACTATGTTCCCTTGCTTCTACTATAATTTTCCATGTGTTTTCTATCCAACTACCTCCCAGTCATTTCAGTTAAGTCATATCTGTGATCTTAGCTAAGACAATGTTATCTAGTTTTGTCCTATGACTCTTGAATTCACATAGCCACATACTAGACACTCACAATGTGAAGCATACACATGAAAACAGGGGTAAAGTACATTTTCCTGAGTTTATTAGTTCAGATAGAAGCCAGCTAAGTGTTTCACCAGGGTTACCCTGATAATTAGCTCAGTGCTACAGACTCATTGCCAAACCTGCAGATTCCACTCTTTGTTGCTTTGTCTTGAAACAATCCACCAAAGAACAGTCAGATGGAACATGGAAGTGCTTGAGATTCCTGAAGAGCACAGACCTCTGCTTCACAGAGAAGGCAGTGTACTCCATTTCATTCAATAGTTTGCTCCTGATAGTTTGACCACTGATAATACACTAAGGTGCCAGGTCTAATGAAACAGTACCTTCACAGCAGGCTTGTTGATTGCGTTGTGGCATTCAGTGTGCTGGCAATGGATGGGATTCCAAGCTGCAAAGCAAAGCACAGCTGGTGAGTTTTCTCATTCACATTATCTGGGTCCCCATAAAAACACAGTAGATACTTCACTAGCTTTCTTTTTTCTTTAAAAGAACCACCATCAGAAACCTACCTAAAATAATCATTGTCTTAAATTTGTGACAAACTTTTAAACAGCAAAGATGTCAACTCCATCCATTTTCCCACGGGGAGAAACAAGGACAAACAGTACCACAATATTATCTCACAAAGATACCATTACTAAGTTCTCAAAGGCTTTTCCATCTATGGCTTCATGTGATCCTCCCAAACTCTGTGGGATAGTTAAAGCAGATCATTAACCTCATTTCATATATGAGTAAGTTAAAGTAAAAAATTTTAAGTTACTTGTTATGGTCACAGAATTAGTAAATGACAAGCTGGACTAGAACTAAAATCTCTTGGTTTTTGCCACTGATCTTTTCAGACAGTACACAGTGCTAAACGTCCTAGATTTGGGGCACCAGGAATGGCTTCAAATTGATAATAACTGAAACAAATAAGACAACCTTCACCATTCCACTTCCCACCCTAACCCCATCAAATGTGGAGCCTGGGAAGATGAGTTTCTTGCCCAAATAAAATGCATCTCTCTTACACACATGATCCATAGAGTAACCTCTGCTAGTTTGCTAACTAAACACCCAACTCCTTAACACAGTATATACACAGAATAAGGACAAGAACCAAGTGATCTGGGATAGATTCAAACAAGAGTCACAGTAAGTAATTATCATCATCCAGATGATTCTGTAGCCCAGAGCACTTAACAATATTCCATCAAACTATATATATATATTAGGATGGTATGTTTGAAAGTAGGCCATTCTGCTAAATTGTTATATTCTAATCTTTAGGACTATGATAGGCCTAATATAATTATTAGGCCAAGAATTTGCAGGTGAGAGGATTTTCTTACTTAGTTACATATCCAACTTTAATTCAAAAATATTTATTATTAATGATACAGACCTATAAAACATGTAAAAAAAAGTCTATCTAGGAGTGTCTCAACTTCAAATTATTAGGCCACACATAAGATTATGTGTCTGACTTGGGATTCAGGAAAATCTGACCAACAGAGTCACTGACCTTTAAAAATATACAATGGATCTATTTATTTAAAAAGAAGACAAGAAATCCAGACCAGAAACCACTAGTCTAAAAATATACTATCATACTGATTATATTTTTAGAGAGAATGAGGAAATGAATAAGAAATGGATGAATGAATAATTTGAATATAGGCATTCCATAGCTATATGATTTGTTTCCTATATGTAGAAAAGTCAGGATAAATATAGACAGTAAGAAAACTTTTCTTATGTAATTAGAGAAACTTAGAGAAGATGATTGCCTTTAACCAATACAAAAGTTGCAAATACATGAGACATGTGCCCTATTCCTCCAATTCCAAATTCATGACAGACATCACTAATCCATAACAGCATGCCTTTCTGCTGAGTCCAGAACTGGCCTTTGAATCCTTCTCAGCACTGAGATCCAGGCAGTCACCACTAATCAAAACAGAGCTGACTCAGAAGATGAAATCTGCTTATCATCTCTGAATTCATATATTATGAGAATATTTGTAGATCATCTCATAAATATTAAGAAGTTCTTGACACATACACATAGAAGTAATATTCAAAATTTGTAACAAGTGCTTGGCACAGACACAAACAAATCAGAATGTGCCATAGCAATAGCACTTGATCAGGCTGCTAAAGTCTCCTGCTATGCCAGAAATTAATGTTTTATATGTGGATGGTGGGGATATCAAAGAGGTCCTACTCCTCTAATTTTTAATTCCATTTTTACAGAGTGTCATTGAGTTAACAACAGATTGTAAGATACTTCATTTAAGTTTGCCAAAGTCATACTACATTTAAGCACACTAAAACTGATTCTTAGCTTTTGTTGTGTATCAAAAATCACTTATCAAGGTTTCAAAATATGGTGCCTGGAATCCATGTTAAATCTACTGAATCAAATCTCTGAGGATAGAGTACTTGTGATTGGGTAAAGCACTACAATTAATTCCTATATAAGGAAAATCTATGTATTTTACCATATGGTAAACATAGTTATGATAGATTTCCTTTCACTTGAAAATAAAATACAAACAAAAAAATGAAAATAAAAACAAAGCATATAGTATAAAACATGGCAGACAAGAGTTCTGCTTCCAACTATGAGAAAGTAACTGGTATCAGACTTACCCTCTCACCATAAACAACTAGAAAACTGGAAAATACATATGAAACAACTGTTTTTCAGAAATTGGGCATAGGTAGTATAGGTTCTCAATAACCCCTGAGAGAAGAGAAACATTGAAATGAGTCCTACAATCCCCCAATTTCTTCCTGGAAGAAATTTCCAGACTTTGGCCCCAGTGGGGGAAAGATAAGCACAGTAGGTTGGTTTCATTGAGCTGAGGGGACAAAAACTGGAGTTTAGAGAGGCAAGGTGGCTTAAATTTGCTATGTAGGATACCAAAGAGCTATGCAGAGAAAAACTCCAGAAACATGAGTAGGAGTGTTTTTAGGTCTTCGGCTTTATATCAACCTGAATGTGTGTATGGCAAAACTCCATTAGGCTGCACATAGAACAGCTATGGGAGATCTGTAAGCTAAATAATTTCTACATCTCATACAGGGATGGGAGATATTTGAGTTCCAAACAGCCACAGTGGAGAGAACACAGTGAAAACCTGAGACTTTCAATAAAGACTCTAGGAGATTATACCTTAGTACTAGGGATAAACTAACATTAGGGAAAAGGCCACTACAAGCTCACCCTAACAAAGCACAAGAACAAGCCTTGAAAGGGTCAAGATGATCCACCAGTATTTTGTCTACCAAAAGAAACCTCAACACACTGTAATGGAAGAGTACAAAATCCAGACACTCAATAATGTAATATTCATGAAGTCCAGCATCCAGTCCAAAATAACTTGGTATTTGAAAATGGAGGAAAATATTACCCATAATCAGGGGCAAAAAACTGGCCAATCAAAGCAAGCCTAGAAATTACAGGAATGAGGTAGTTTAGCAAACAAGGACTTGACAACAGCTATTATAAACATATTAAAGGAAAACATGAACACGGTGGGGATAGAAATGAAAGATGTAATTTAACAAAACAGAATTTTTACAAATTAAAAATATAACATCAGATTGAAAAATTAACTGAATGGGCTTAATTGTAGATTAGACAAAGCAGAAGAAAAGATCAGTGAATTAAGACATAACAACACAAACTACTCAAACTGAAGTACTGGAAGAAAAATAAACAGAGCTTCAGTGAGCTGTGGGAAAATATCAGGCAGTATAAACATGTGGTTAAAAGCCCAAGGAGGAGGTGATATTTGAAGAAACGATGGCCAAAACTTTTCAAATTCAATAAAACTGTAAACCCACAGATCCAAGAAGCTCAATGAATCTCAGGCAAAACAAAAGCAAAGAAAGTCACACCAAGACTCAGTATAATCAAATTGGTGAAAGCCAATAATAAAGAGAAATCTTAAAAGCAGCCAGGAAAAAAGACACATTACTTACAGGGAAACAAAGATAAGAATGATCGCTGATTTCTTGTCAGAAACAATGCAAGCCAGAAGACAATGGAAGGACATCTTTAATATGCTGAAAGAAAAAAACTGTCAACCTAGAATTCTATACCCAGTGAAAATATCCTTCAAAAATGAATATTAAATAAAGACTATTTGAAGACAAAAATAAGATAAGAGAATTCATTGCCAGCTGAGAGACACTAAAGAAATGTTAAAGGAAGGTCTTCAGGCTGAAGGAAAATGATACCAGATAGAAGCTAGACCTACACAAAGGCATAAAGAGTTCTGGGCATGGTAAATACAGTGAATAACTGCCAAAGACTTTCTACTCATGTTAACACATTACTAAAAGATGACTTACTGTTTAAAACAAAAGCAATGTCCATGTATTATGTGACTAATAATATATAGTAGTAAAATATTTGATAACAAGAACAAAAAGAATGGGAGGGGGAAAATGAAAAAGCACACTGTTCTTATATTACATGTAAACTACTATAATATTATTTGAAGGTAGACTGTGAAGTCAAAGGTGCATATTGTAAACCCTAGAGAATTTTTTTAAAGCAATATACCTAACAACTCAATACAGAGAAAAAATGGAATACAAAAAATAATTAACCCCAAAGAAGGTAAGATATTAAAAAGAAAAGGAACACAGATGGGACAAATACAAAACAAGTGCAAGATGAGAGATTTAAACCCAACTATATATATAATTACATTAAACATAAATGGCCTAAACAATAATTATATTCGATGTAAATGGTCTAAAAGACAGTGGTTGTCAAAATACAATTGTTTTTCCAAAAGCATGACCAAAATATATGCTGCCTGTGAGAAACATTCTTAGACTATAAAGACAAACAAGTTAACAGTAAACAGATAGAAAAGTTACAAAATACAAATTCTAATCATAAGAAAGCTGGAGTATCTATAAAAATATCAGACAAGTAGATTTCAGGACAAAGAATATTACCAGTAATACAAAGAAGAATATTTCACAGTGAGAAAAGGGTCAATTCATCAAGACAACAACCATAAACGCATGTGCGTCTAATGATAGAGTTTCAAATTACATGAGGCAAAACTGACAGAACTGAAAGAAATAAGTCCATAATTAGAGCTGTAAACTTCAACAGTTTTCCCTCAGTAAATGATAAAACAAGCAGAGAGAAAATCAGTAGAAATAAAAGACTTGACCAATATTCACAACAACCTAACCTAATTGATGACAAAACTCTCTACTCAACCACCATGGAACAGACATTGTTTCCAAGGCCACATGTAACATTCACTAAAATAGACAACATTCTGGTTCATAAAATAAGCCTCAAAAATCTAGATAGGATGATATCATAGAGTAGGTTTTCTGACCACAATAGAATTAAACTAGAAATAA